AAGCGAATCTCACGAGACTATCAAATCATATATTTACGGTTGCCACATACAGCTCTCTCCCTCTCTCTCTCTCTCTGTATATCCAGTTAATTGAGCTCTTGCTTCAAATTTGTTTACTGGCTTTCCTATTTTTCGATTATCAGCGCATCGCATACCTGACTGGGCAGGTAAATTCCTCCGACCTTAGCTCTTATCGGAATGCACATCATCATTGCTTATAGTTTTTGTAGTTTGCTGTTTGCTGTTGATTTATGCTGTTGGCAAGTCCATCATAATTTGACTGCTGCCATTTGCACAGGCACATAGTACGCCAGCAATAGACAGAGAGGGAGAGAGAGAGAGAGAGAGAGAAAGAGAGAACAGCTATGTGGTGTAGAGTTTCCACCAGTCAATAGATTGAATGCGATGCTGTGTCTGTTATAAACGCGTAATTTGAATAGCCATCGTATGCTGAGAGCACAGTGTAGAGTGGCAATCCTCCATCCTTGAATAGCACAAAGAGGGGAAAGGTAAGCCTGCTGGAGTGCAGAGTTCCGATCGGCAGAAGCTGTGAGCTGTGAGATGAGAAAAGGAGAAAAAGGAAAATTAGCCGGATCTTTTCTAATACCAGTTAATGCTATATGCAAGATATATTAGAAGGTTTCGAATTGTGTTGGTTATCAACTCATCGCATGGGCGACTCACCAGGTGAAACCCTTTATCCCAATGCACATCATCATTGCTCATAAAAGTGGTTGTTATTGTTGTTTACAAGGTTTTCATAATTTGATTAGCGGCATTTGCACAGGCATTTAAGTGAAAAGATAAGCGTGCAAAAACCAAAATACACACACATATACACGCCTGCACTTGTTAGCCTGGCAAGCATCCAAAACGTTGTGAACTTACACCCTCATCCTCACCCTCATCCTCATCCTCACCCTCATCCTCACTCTCTCTCTCACCACATTCAGCTAGCCAGCCGGCCATATAGAGCAATTAAATGCAATGTTGGTCAATGTTGCCCAACACCAGCTGTGATCAAGTGCCGCTGCAGCTGCTGATCATTAAAATGGCCAAGAGCCAAGGGCCAATGGCTAAGGGCCACGTTAATGAAGTGTCGGGCATATTGCTACTGCTACTGCTGCTGCCTTTGCCCGCTTAAAGAGCTCAAGTAGGGGTCGACCGACCCGTTTTTCAATTGCACCACAAAACTTACTTACTAATGCTCTCTAATTTCAGGCGGCGGCAGCAGCAGCTGCAGCAGCAGCGCATCCCCAACTGCTGCATCACCTCTCCCCTTCGGCTGGAGCTGATTGAGTGATGGGCTGCTGCAGGCCATGAAGCTGCAACTGCAACCATCTGATGTGCTTCTGTGTGCATGTGTGAACGTTGCCATGTGTGCTCTGTGTGGTTTTCTAAATTATCTTCATGGGTTGCAAACGGAGCATAGTCAAACAATCGGCTCTGCCAGCTTCTTGTCAGGTGGAGTTCAACGGCTGATAGACAAAAATACTAGATGTGTGTGTGAGTGTGTGCATGTCGCCAGTCACCAGTTGGCAGCAATTGAATGTGGCCCCGGCGACCACCGACAAACGACACAAACGTCCAATCGTCCTGTGCCCAGTGTCCACTGTATTCCGTATCCTTTGTCCGTCGTGGGTCGTTTGTCGTTTTGGTTAACGTTGTAGCTCTGAGCTCCGAGGGTTGTCGGTTCTGGCATCGGTCTTGTATGCTGCGTGGCAAAAATAATTCCATTTGTTGGCTTCTGTGCTTATCTATTTAACGATATTTATTTTGCTCGTGAAATGGACGATAACTTATTAGCTTACATCCTTGTAGCTTACATTTCTTGTTGAAATTATTTCTTTGGTTGATTATCCAACAGCTCGAGTAACAAGCTAAATGCTAAGTTAATGTTTCAATTCATGGCATATCCTTAATGCATTGAATCTAAACTTCATATTTAATGGAATTGCTTCTTAATAATAAAATTATATTTTTAAATAGACTTGATAAACTGTATTGAGAGCATTGCAGCAAATTACTTTCAGATATTTTTGTGTTTTGTTTGGTTAAATTGTATTTTAAAAATGGGAGACTTGTATGTTTATCGGTACTACGACAGCGCATTAATGCAATCATTATTTTTTTTAGATCGATAGATATACACACTGCTGTTAAATCCCTACACTAATTGGCTCAAATGTCGGCTAAAGCCACAGCAACAGCAACAGCATCAGCAACAGCCAGACAACAATCTATATTGCATTGCAACTTGGAATGCGGCGATGTTGTTTATATCTCTGTCTACAACGTAAGCTGCTGCTGTTCCTGCTGTTGGATAGCTTCGCTCCAGCTGCGTTAATTCAATAAAATGCTGAATACAATTGATTGATTAGCTACACAAGTAGCCGCACGTTGTTCTTTTTGTCCTTTCTCCCTCCCACCCACTTCAGTCTTCACACTTGCCACTGACCCAACGACTGCAATAAGCAAAAAAAAAAAACTCAGTTGCTGATGCTGCTGCTGCTGCTGTTGCTGTTGCACTAAGCTGTTTCCTGGTGCCTGCTTTTCTTGCCACATTTGTGATTCCTTTTGCCAACGCTGACACTGTTTTTCTTGTTCTTCCTCTTAACTTTTCTTAGTATTTGGCTGCTACAGCTCCAGCTACAGCTACAGCTCCAGCTCCAGCTGCTGCTGCATACACAATTGTCTGTGCATTATTTGAGCTTGTGCCGGCATTTGTTATTTTGCTTTTATCCCTTTAGATCACGACGTAATGCGATTGTGTGAGGTACGACAAACGTCGAGCTTCGCGTGCTTTTCCTTGTCTTGCCTCGCGTCGCATCGTATCCTCAGCACACTGATTTCCTGTGTACTTATAGCTTCGGTGCACCCCGTCCTTCTCCTGTCCGGATTCTCCTCTTCCAGCAGCACACATCGGAGATGTGAACGATTTCCCAGCGCTGCCAAAATGTCACGCTGTGTGACAAAGATAGCAGTCAGCATACACACTCACACACACTCACACACACTCACACACACTCACACACACATACACACACAACTTTTAAAGCTTCGTTTTCTCTGCTTAAAATAGCAGCAGATCGGCACTCCACAATCCATAATATGGCCGCCAGCACACACACACACAACATATACGACACAAACATGGAAGCATGCATGTCTCTCTCTCTCTCTCTCTTTCTCTCTCTCTCTCTGTGTGTGTTTAAAGTTGCAGCAGATCCTCAGTCTACACTCTACTCTACACTTTCCGTAGTAAATGTTGCCTAAACTTTGAAATGACTCCATACAACAACTTACTTTCTCTCTTCCCCTACAGATCGGCTGTCTTAAATACTTATGCTATGCTCACTTTGCTTTATTTATGCATGTGCTCTCTTCTCCCCCTCTCTCTCACTCTTGTAGCTGGTTAGCTTGTGGCTGTATTTGTTGCTTCCAATTATAATGCTATGCATTTATGCCTGTACGTATTTATTGTGCCTGGTGACCCGAAAACATTTTGTGATATCCCCGCCCTCGCCTCAGCCTGTCGCATCTGCAGCAGCTGCATTGTGTCGGGCATTTAGCTTAGTCCGTTGCTCAATGTTCAATTAAAAGCCAGTCGTACTCAGCTCTGCAGGACATCAGGTGGTGTTTGCATGTTTGCCCCGACCGTTTGCCTGGTTGTCATTTTGGCTGCTTGCATATTTGATTTGTGCATTAAAACATTTCAAACTGGCTACACCACCACCACCACCAGCACCCCCCCTACACTTGTACCCCTTCGTCGTGCGACCACGAGCAGCAGAAGCGGCATCAGCATCAGCAGCAACAGCAGCAGCAGCGACAGAAACAGCAAAGCGCTCATTGCAAATTCTCTTTAGAGCAATTTTAGTTATTATATTGCGTTGGCTTTGTTCCCAGTTGCCGTTGTTGTGCTTGTTGTTAATGTTGTTGTTGCTGGCAGATGCAGCTTGACGTCCACCTTGCATTACTTATTTATTATTGAAGATTAACAAGCAGCTTCAGCTGTTGGACAAGCCAACAGCACCGGACAGACCGACCAGAACCAGCCAGCAGCTAGTGTCCAGAAGTGACTGTCAGCGTGAATGTGGCCTTTGGCCGTTTGGTGAATAGTTCGGTGGAGTGGGAAGAGCTTGAGCACTGAGCTTCAGCCAGAGGCTTTGAGCCGCATTCAAGTGGCAGTAGGTCCAACTACCAGCTGTCGATCTGTCTGTCTGTCTGTCTCTCTGTGTGTCCCCCTCCTTTAACTAAACTCTTGCTTCTAATGTGCAATATACATTTTGCATATCAGTTGCAAATTTTAAGTATAGGCTTTGGGGTTATGTACTCATAGACAGAGATGGACATATGTATGTATTTAGATATATATGTATATATATACAAGTGTAGCTATAAGTTTGAACTGTCGCATAGCTGCACATGGGCTCAACTGAAAATGAGACCTATTCAATAGTCATTTTTTTATCTTATGTTCTGTTTCGCTCACTCACTCACTCACTCTCTCTCTCACTCTCTCTCTCTTTCTCTTATCTTTCTCTTTGCAGTTTGCCGCACCCAGCAGCAGCAGCAGCAACACTGGCAAAATTAGTAGTTGGAGCAGCATTACGCCTTTCATCAGCAACAGCAGCAGTAGCAGCAGAGGCATAAATAAATATGATTAAGCTTAAGAATATATAAAAAGAAAGTTCAAATGAAATAACGCAATATAAAAAACATAAATAAGTAAGGAAGCAAGCAGCATCAGGAGCAACAGCAGCGGCAACAGCAAAACGCAACGAGCCGAGGGCAAGAGGCCAACTGGCAGCTGGGGAGTAGCGCACAGTGTGGCAGTCTCTGCTGTCTGACCGTCTGCCAGCCAGCGTGTGCAGCAGCAGTCTGGAGAGTCTGTGGAGTGTGGAGCGTGTAGAGCGTGTTGTGTGGAGAGTGTAGAACTGAGATAGAGAATCGAGCTCAATTACGCCGCCAAACTGTCGTGTCAGCAACAACGTGAAATGTGCAATTCCTGGCTGCTGCCCATAATTGCGCTCACTGTTGTCTGCCTGTGGAACTCGCAACAAACCGAAACATCCAAATCATGCCCAGCCGAGTGCATCTGCTTGTCCCAGACTCAAGTAAGCTTAACAATGTCTCCCTCTCTCCCTCTCTATCTCTCTCTCTCTCTCTCTCTCTCTCTCTCTCTCTCTCTCTCTGTATATCTCTCTCTCTCTCTTTATCTTCCTCTTTCTCATTTTCTCTTGCTCTAGACAACTGATTTGCTGCTGTTGTATTGTTTGTTGTATTTGTTGCCATTCCACTTGTAGTTTTATAGTTGTTAGCTCTGTGCAACAAGAACATCATCATCATCATCGTCAGGGGCGAAAAAGGAAAGAAATACTGAGAAGCAGCAGGTCGTCTGGGGGATCCTGGCCTGGTCAGCTGCTATCGGAGCCCCGTGATGAACAGAGCACAAAATATTAAATCCAAAATGCTGGGCAAAATGGTCATTTCCCTTTGTTTCAAAATGTAGACTGCAAAAGAAAAAAAAAGAATGGCAGAGGGTGGAGGGCGGAGGGCGGAGGGCGGAGGGACACTCGTCATGGGAGGAGCACGAAGCTCGCATACCACTTGTTACATTTCCGTCTGTCTTTTCTTTTTGTGTGTGTTTGCTTCGTATTCAATTGTCTCCCACGAGAATTTTGCGGCCAGCTGGAGACACAATAGAAGGGAAGCGGGGGACAGTGAGAGGGAGGATGACAGTAGGCCTCGCCTCGCTTAATGCGCATCCTTATTACCAATGGGGCCGAGAGCGCACAGCGCTGCTGGCATCGTCATTTTTACCAAATTGAGAACTTAAGTGATTTCATTATTCCAGATTATGAACAATGAAATGATTTACTCAGCACTCGACAAAACAACAACCCGAAAAATGCACACAAATATCCACACACAACAAAATGGAGCATCACGAAAAAATGCGGCATTCCAACTCATTACAAAAAGCTGCAAACGCTCCCAAAGACGAGTAGTCCTTGCGGTATTTAAGACTGAATAAAACCAGGTGTAGCATGTTTTTTTTTGTTTTTTTTTTTTTGTTTCTGGCCAATTTAAGTTAAAGTTCAGTGCTTGAAATGCGTGGAAAGCGGAAAAATGTGTCGCCGAGTTTTTCGCTGCGAAATGAAATTTCATTAAATCAAACAAAGCCGGCAAGACAAAAAACGAAAACCAAGTAAAAGTGTTTGAGAATGCCTTACTATGAGTAACTCTATGGTCGTCGCTTAAAACTCTAATACATTTTTTTTTGTTTTGCAAGTTTTGAAATATTTTCAATGAACATTTTCTGATTATTAAAATTTGTACAATCATTTATAATTTGTATTATTTCTTCTTTCGAATTCCGGAAAACAAAAAAAGAAGTCACAGACGCTTTTTTGAGATTCAGATTTAATGGGTAGAAGTTATAACAATACAAAATGGAGCGGCACAATTCAGAATGAAACGCAGCGAAACGTATTGCAACGAAACGTTGAGCCATAAAGCAGCAAAACATGCACATAAACAACTGTTAAACAAGAGAATAATAAGAAGTTGGAAGGGAAGAAGCAGTCTCAGAAGTCTCAGAGGTTGGAGCAAAAGAAAAAGCGGAAAGAAATGAAACTTTTAATTCGTTCATTTAAAAGGTGAACCGTATGAAAATTGTGCAAATGTTTACGCAACTTGGACTAAGAGCGTAGACGATGGAGATATGGGGCTAGACTAAGTCCCGGATAGAGGGGAATGTAGTGATAGACCCTAAAAGAAGAGCCAGTGTTGAACCGGGTGCCCGTGGATTACGGGGTGTGGGATTTTCAGAATAGACAACGATGACATCAACGTGACAGCGACAAGCGACACAAAGCGATGCGACGGCAGATAGACAGATGGCCGAGCCGAAGGACAGCAACATTGTTGCGATGCTTGGGTAGGGAAATTGGGCAGGGGAAGGGGGGTGGTCTCTCCACTGACGCACACATCAGCACATAATAGTTATAAAAAATTAAAGCACAAAGCAGAGACAAGAAGAAGGCAACGCAAATGGTTGGGAGGTGTGGGGCAGCAGCTTGATTAAAACCCCCGAAAAAAAGAACAATGAAACGCGCAGCGAATGAACGCGGCGACAAAACAAAAGCAAAAACAAAAAAAGCAGCAAAGAAGTAACAAAAAAAAAAAAAAATTCGATTTAATTTTATTTGCAGCAATAAAGCCGCAAATTCAATTTTCGAGCCACGCGCTGCAATTGCCCCCTATCTGACTAAGACTTTCCACTCTCTATCTCTTACTTTTCTCCCTGCCTTTTTCACTCACTCACTCACACTCTCTATCTCTCTCTCTCTCTCTCTCTGTCTCTGTATCTGGCTGCCCCTTGCAGGTGCTGTGTAACACGGGCGGACTCGAGCAGATACCGCTGCGCCAGTTGCCCGCAACGGTGGAAAATCTCGCACTGACGAAAAACCATTTTCCGATCATCAAACCGGACTCATTTACGGGTCTGCGCGCGCTGAAGAAACTTTCGCTGGATGGCAATAACATAACGCGCATCAAACAGTTTGCGTTTCGTGGCCTGCCACGTCTCCGGGAGCTCTCCATACAGTATACCCCCCTGCAAATGGTGGCACAGTTTGCATTTGCCGGCCTTCAGAATCTATCGACGATATTGCTGAGCCACAATCAAATTCAGCGCATCGAGGGCAATGCATTTGCGGGCACGTCAAACATCAAGCTAATACTGTTGAGCAACAATCCGCTGATACGGATCGAGAGTTCGGCCTTTTCCAGCCTGACGAATGTGGGTCACTTGATATTGCCGTCGGGCATACGAAGCATTGAGCAGGACGCATTCTATGGCATGGATGCGGTCGGACTGCTCAAGCTGGCCTATATGGACCTCAAGGAGATATCGCCCTTCACGTTTCGTGGTCTGTCCAATGTGCTGCTGCTAACGCTGCAGGAATCCGATTTGGGCGTCATCTGTGCGGATGCCTTTACGGGTCTCACGCAGGTGGAGACGCTGCAGATATTGAACAACAAGATCGACTCGATTGAGGAGCTTAACTTTACCAATACGGCGGCCATCAAGCACTTAAAGTTCCATGGCAATCATGTGCTGGAGACGCCCGATCCGAATGCAATTATTGTCGATGGCGTTGATCATTTGCAGCTGCTAAACAATCACTTCCCCTGCGGCTGCCACATACACACCCTGCTCGACGGCCCACTCGCCGAGGGTGCCCACAATCTGAGCGAGTTCCTGCAGAAGAACTATTGCATCTCGCCGTTGGAGGTCAACGGTCGTGTGATGAGCGAACTGGACATCGATGCGATCGGACGCTGTGCCGATCAGCTAACCAAGGGTAATCTCGGCTCATCGGCTGCATCTCTGGCGCTGGGCTTAAATGCCATGCTCCTCATTGCCGTCGCCAGCTGTGTGGAGTGGCGCTATGCCCGCCTAATCGCCGCCCGCGTGGCCCAGCTGTTTGGACACAGTCACGTCGCCTGGCGTCGACGCCGGAAACGCCGGCGACCCAACTAAGCTGCCAAATGTCGACAAGCAAGCGCGGCAACCAAGAATGAGAGCGAAAACCCCAATTTGTACTTAAATCTAATCCCGCTTAATGAGTAAGTCAATTCGTATGTATGTATGTGAAGCAGCAGCCTAAGACCCCCAATGACCCCATGTTCCCTGACCCACCTTTTCCCACTGGTCGTACCGGAAACCCAAAAGACTCAACTGCACTGCATTCGAGCCCGCACTGATTTCATTTTGGGTAAGATCTTAGACTAGAAGACTGTACGGCATTCTTTGGATACTTTTCAAAGTTCTCAATTTATCAACTCATTACAATAAATTGTCAAATAAAAAATAGATGTCTTATTTTACGACTTATTAAGCAAACCCATCATTTTTATTTTGAAAGTAGCTCGAACACATCTTAGTGCCATCCTTAGTCTTTAAGTAATGTACATTAGAATTCGCATTTAAATTAACTCTAGAATATATATGTTGAATTGCATAAAGTTTCAGCTGTTCCAGCTTCATCTCAAGAGGCTTAATATAAGCCAAAGCCACCAAACAAAAGACATGACTTTATTTAACCAGGCTAATAGCCTTCATTATTCTGCATCAGAAATGAATAAACTAAAATTTGTTGGATTTTCTATCAAGTTGCGGAGTGTGAAGCACCTAGGTGCGAAACTCAGGACTTGTTTCCCAGCTAGTTTCATTGGTGGCACCGCATGTCTTAGATTCTCATTGCATTTCTAATGTCATCTCTTTGAATTTTTGATACCATCTTTATCTCCCTCCTTATATCTCGCTCCCGCTATTTCTGTGTCTGTAATCACATGCACATATAGCACACCTTCAGGCAAGTGGAAGTGCATGCCCAATCTCCATTCCCACAGACACATTCCAATCGTCATTCACAGCGTCATCAATTTTTACGTTTCACTTGAAATGCAAATGGAAAATGGTTTCAATGGTTTTCTCTCATCTTTAAATGCATTCAGACAGCAATAGCAACAGTAACTGCAACAGCTATTGCTTCAGTAAAACCAGCAGCAGCACAAAAAAAAATATATTCAATAGTATTCATCATCATATTCCGAACCGTTAGCCAAATACAAACCCAAATTCCAAATGTGTTTTGGTACCCGGCTGGCCGTTTGACTGTTTGGCTTTTGGCTCCATCGCGACGGCTTCTTTAACCAATTGAACTGCAGTCCAGCTTATGCCTTAAAGGCATCTGCTGCTGCTCGTGCCGCTCCTGCTGCAGTGCAGCTCCAAACAGTTTTATTGTGCTTGTAGCGCACTTAAAGTGCGGCAGGCTCGACTGCCAACAGAGGCGTGCCGGCAGAGGGGGCGATCTGTTGTTGTTGTTGCTATGGGTTAGCATACAAAACGAGAACGGAAATTACAAATTCTATTCACTCGTTTCGGTATTGAGGGGGCCCTCTCTAATTCGTCGGTCCAACTTGTCCCTGCCGACGCCTCGCCGCACCCCCTCACCCAACCAATCCTGGGCACATTCAGAACCACACACAAAGGCACATACACACACGCACACAGCCAAAACTTTTTGCTGGCAAAACGAGCTGTATACTAGGCTGTGACTGAGGCAAAATCCGAACGAAAGGCAAACGAAAGGCGGGTCTATTCTTTAGTCGCTTATCGCAAAGGACTTAGATTTATCTAACTTGATTATGATGCTAAGCATTGCGCCACACAAATACACACACACACACACATATATATATACTTGACTGAGTGGTTCTGTGTTCTCTTTTTTTTTTGTATTTAGTAAAAGGGGTTCCCCCCTGGAAACAAATGCGCAGAGAAATCATTGAAGGAAATTAAAACTTTGTTTACTTTCAAGTCCACATCTTGTAATGTTATCCACCCACTCAGCCTGTTATTTAATGCCTTTTCGGAAGAGTATTCGAATTTTGTACTGAAATGTGTAACTCATAGAAGAATACATTCCCAATAAGTCATGTACCCTCAAGGCATTATCGTTACAGTTATGTCTGTGGAAACTTCGCATGCTGCAAAATGTTATCCACATCTGGTTACATAATCAGCCCAATGGAGCTCTTAGTTGCGAACAATTTTGGCCAAAGTTTAGTTTCCGTTGCAGCAATAAGAGTATTTAGTCAGTGGCACACTGCACATAATTTTTCTTGCATTGTTGGCTTTTGTTTAGCTGCTGGTTTTACAGTTTTGCATTTGCGACCTTCCCGCTTGCTGTACATACACACATACTTTGCCAATTTGTTTAATCAGTTTTCCAATGATGTTCGGCTAATTGAAGACAGCTAGAGCCAGAGTTCGGCTTAAAGCTTTAACAGTTGCTGCACTTTTGGATTGCGCCGTTGGCTAAAACACGTTGCCACGTTTCTCCCGCACGTGGTTGGAGCTCTTTGGCACACGATTTCTGTCACTTGCCGCCGCATGTCCGCAGATCGTTAACTTAATTGTTCCGCTCGAAATGCGAAAACTGTTGTTCGCCATTGTTGGGACTGATAGGCGAATCCACCTCCTACACATCCTACGCATACACCGCCCCCCCCCCCCCTCGCCACCCTTCTAGTCAACGTCCATGTCAGCAATGCAATAAAATTGGCGTGACTAACAGTACATGGAGGCGCCGCGATGCCTGGTCACACTGGACTGGTCGCAAGTCGTGCGTGCCGCTGCTGACGTCGCTGCTGACGTGGGGGTGGTGGTGGGTGTGGGTGTGGGGGTGGAGGTAAGTGGTGGGACTGCGTCGTGCAATCAGCAAATGGTCGACCGCAGCAAAAGTCGCGTAATTAACGCCAACGACTCTTCAACTGTCCCCCATTTGCACCTCCCCACCTATATCCCCACCGTTGCGCATCCCCATCACACCCTTGTCCAACCAGTCAAGTCCAAATTAAAACTTGATACCCTCCCCCACGGGCGACACTTTCGTGACTGTCTGTCCATCAGCTCGCCAGCTCTTTTATGGGGGTGATAAATTTGGCCAAAAGTCGCAACACAACCAACAAAAAAATCAACAATTTAGATATGTTTTAGATTTTGTGCTCGCTAAAGCAGTTACCCTGCGCAACTTGACAACAAAGAAAGTTAGTAGATGTATGGCTTAGTTTAAACAGACTACAAGATGCTCTACAAACAGCTGAACGACTAGAAATATATATACAACAACTATAAGCAGTTGGTCTTGCAAAAGTTGTAATCAAATGATTGTTTTTGAGGATTTCCGCAGCCTTGCAGCCAAAATGTGTTTATCAAGCATTGTTTATTAGATCACAACTACAAAAAGTCTTAGTACTTATTAAACACATTACTTTAAGTAATTAAGCTAAATTTAACATTTATGACTTTTTGTTAGATTCATTTTTGAGCTACTAATTAATGTATACATCGCAGAGATTTTGATTGAGAATGCCGCATTGGGAGTTGTACAAAGATTACAGGGTATTGTGGGCACTTCGAATGTGAATAGCTATAAATAAAATCTGTGGAAAAAGTGAAACTCAATTGAAATCGTAAGCGAAAATCGCAACGCTGCGAAATTGAAAAGGTCAAGTAAGAGTAAGGGCAAAAAGGCAGTGTTTCGAAAACGTGGAAGGAAATAAAGGGGTGGAGAAGAACTACGAGCAAGTGTTAAACTTCTAAAAAATTTTGCAGTTTGGCCAATTGTTGAAAGTGACAAAAAAAAGGTAGACAAGTAGCTGAAGTCGAGAGTCTCAGCGTTGAGCGCTCAGTTCTCAGTTCTCATTGCTTAGCTCATCATGGCTGGGCAAGTCAGGCAAATTACCAGCGCCATCAATTAGCCTGGCCACACAGAGCGAGTCAACTAAGCTAGCTGGGGTAGGGTGGAGGGGGCAAGTGGCAAGAATCTGTGCCTGAAATATGACACTGGGCAGCGATTGCAGGGGGGAGGGGCAGGAACCTGGGTTAAGCGTTGTCCATTTGCGTTTCACTGCGCATTTATTTCTTTTTCATTTTTTTTTTGTCCAACCCCTCTGCTGGAGTTCTTTTTATTTTTTTTATTTTGTTATGCCGTTTGGCGTTGCAAATTTATTGAGCTAATACAAAATTTAATCAGGCTGCCAGCCTTTGGGCAGGCTCACAGGATTATCAGGCGCGCCGCCCATAAATAACAGTAAGGGCTGGGGGCGGTGCCAAACAGCTGGCGGCAAAGGATTGGATTTTGGCATTCGAATTGGGTTCAGTTTTTGTTGCGCACTTTGGACTTTCGCATTGGGCCTCGGCTAGGGCACTTGGATCCTTACACTTCATTTAAAGTCAAGGAGTCGCACATAAATTTCCATGCACATAATTAAACGGCCAAATGACAAAGCAAAATCGTTGAATCGAGGTCAAAAGAGCTTCAGCACCCCAATAGCAGCTGCGCCTACAGCGGGCCAAAGGCCAACAACAAAAGTAATTAAATATGCGACTAGGCTGACCTCACACACATGTGTGCTTATATTGCGCGTGTGTGTGCGTGTGTGTGTATGTGGGTATTTATCTCATAACGAAAAATTATGAAAATCTATGTGGGCTGCCTGTGTCAATTAACATGGCCAAATCGACCAGCCACAAGCAAGCTGTGGCCAACGGTGCGTACGAGAGATATGCGGGCTACAAGCCCGCCCACAATTAAGTTCAATCATGAGTATTTTAAAGACGCGACATACCCTCACCCAGACCATAACTGAAGACAATAACCGCTAGCTGTGTAGTACAAAAGATTGAATATCCTTTCATTATTTATAACTGCCAAATTGATATATGTACATAATAATTGGTGACTTTGCTCCACTCCACTTTCAACTGAAATCGGCCTGTTGTATATCAGTTCATGCTCGATTGCTCGTTATTTGTGAGTTTGGTCTTCGAAAATAGATTGGGTTTTCATAAAAGTACTCCATTTGCGATTGATAGCTAAAGTGTATAAGCTTTTCTTATTGTTTTGGTCAACTTAAATTATATAGTGACTCGATCAAGCCAATTGAATTTATGCCAAATTTGATACAAAATTCTTTATAGAATTACCGACCGAACACGGTGGAAATATATGGCGGTACAAAGTTTGCGAGAAAATAATGATACCCGCTGCAAGTGTATAAAGCGATTGAAACTGACATCAAGATGGTGCGAGGACGTTGGTAAATAAGGTCTTGAGGATGTCGGAAGGTCGGCGGAAGGTGGGGCGAGCCGGCAGCCAGCACGCAAAAATGCTTAAGTAAGCTTAGAGTGTGTGAGAGTTGCAGAGCACAGAGCAAACACGCGCGTATTCCCTTACACCATCGGCACATCCTCACCCTCACACG